GATCTTGCAGATGTAATTATGATGTTGAGTATGAGACCCGCCGAAGTTGCCACTCTTCGTATTATCCATTATGAACCTGGTGAATCGAATCCTCCTGAATGGTACAAGCCTGGTTATTCTTGGTATTGTATCAGGTATATTAAAAATAAAAGAGAAGCAAAAAATAATCCCGAACCTTGACAATTTCTATCCATAGAAAAGAATCCAGAATATACAAAAGAATTGCTTACCTGGATCCAAGATGCAATAGCAACTGAAAAGTTACACAATCCTGTCTATAGTATTAATGAAAAATGCAGAAACGAATATTTAGTAAATTTTTAAAATTATATAGTATTGTAGCCAAAAGATTAAGAAAAATTGGAGGTAAACATGCTTCTAGAGTTCATGGTGGTCAAAATCCAACTTCGCTTTTCTCAGTAGGATTGCAATGAGCCATAAGATGGATCGTCATGATTCTGGAATGTATTATACTGAGGGTGATACTTCAGATTCTGACCTTGTCTTGGATCTGTAGCTTTACACAATAAAATTACCAAAAATATAGAAGGCATCAAAGAGGATATAACATTACTTAGGCACATAAGTGCCATTTTTCCAAAATAGGAGGTTCTGGAAAAAATAATCAATATATACGTATGCCAGGTATATGATTAGACTTCGTACATAGAATAGGGGAAGTTAGATATATAATTCTTAAACCTGGTAATTTGTACACATAACTCATCCTGCTTTTTTCTGTCATAATTTTCTTTACTTTTATATTTTCCCACGTGTTTATTGCATGCATTATATTTAGACCTATTTGGCTCATCACAATCTTTACAAAGAGTAGGTATTGGAGAATTATGATGAATATAATATCTTTCTGATTTACTATGTTGACCACAGATTTCTCCAGTTCTATGAATATATGAGCAATGGTATAATATCATCATGATTATATATAATAATTACTTTAATCAAATATATAATTTTTTTGGCGTCTGGCTAAAATTTCTGGAATAATTAATTTTATTTTAAAGATTTATCTACCAATTAATATAGTTTCAATAACATATACTTTTTGTCAGATTAAACAATGCATATATACAAACAACATATTTACAAATCAATAAAATGAGTTTGTTTAGTGAAGCAAAAAAATGTCTTCATGAATCATTACAGCAACAGTGCTTAAATCAAAAGTCAGCTAAATATAATGAAGCAAAAAGGCTTTTTACGGGTTTAACAGATCTTGATTATAAACCTGGCCATACAGAACATATATTTTATAAATACTGGCTTGCATCTAATGATCGTGCTAGCTCAGCTAATAAAAATGATACTGCGCTTTTAGATACATATCAACCTGAAGAGATTCATTCTCAATATATAGTTCGAGTAGCAAGAAAAGGCTATACAGTGATTGATTATCCTTCCGAAGTTTATGGAATACCTGATGCCCATGAATGTATTGATGGAAATCAACCCCTTCATTTAGTAATCAATATTGACGCGAGGCAAAAGCCTGATCCTTCTAATCTTAAACTTCCTTCTCTAGATAATGAAAAAATTAATCATGAGGATTTGATATCTTGAATTTTAGTTGCTTGTGCAGATGCATTGAGTCTTATACTGGGATGCATGCCTTTCTTAAATTCTTTTGCATTAGCAAGTTCATCGAATACTAATAAATGCAGCTGGCATATTATCT